GCTGCTAGTGATATTTCTGGATAAGTTGTAGGTGGTGGTCGATTGAGTAGTTCTTTGAAGTGGTCAGTTCATGGTTTCCTTTGTTTCTCTTCTTTGGTACCTAGGTTTTTATTGTCTTTTTTGGTTTCATCTGCGTTGATCTCTTTCCAAATAGTAACCCAGTTATTTGACATAATGTTGTCAGATTTCTCCTACCAGCAGCCTATTCTGCTTCACTTGCTAGTGTTTCGTAGAATTGTCTTTTGTTTTACCTCGCAGTGTTCTTCACTTCTTTGTTCAGTGTTTTTTACGGTGTACTCAGTTCTTTTCGTTGTGCATCCTTGCACTGGTTTATCCTCTGCTTCACCATCTTTCTCTCCTCTGTCAGCTTCCATGTGTCCGTCGAGATTCATTCCTTATCTTGTTTTCTCTTTCTAATACGGTTATGCAGGTTTCCTTCCGCACCTCTTTCAAAGAGTTCCAGTGTTCTTCCACTGAGGTTTCTTTTGGGATGTTGCTGAGTATCTCGTATTTTGTCCTGATGGCTGACGTGAGCATGTCCTTTATAGAGGAGGTCAACCAAGCTAAGCTGACTGCTACCTCATAGATGGACATCGAAGTTGTACAATTTGTCCATGAGTTACATACACTTAAATGAGTTGGTTGCTGGCATAATATCAACTTGGATACAATAGATAAGTTCGGCATTTGTTAGCCCTATGTCATCTCTAGCTCCGACCAGATATCCGAATAAGCTATTAAAGGACAAGTGTCGTGTTCTGTAGTTCACTCTGTCCTAATTGATGGTTGTGTTTTATTGCCTCTGGAGATAAGTGTTATGAAGAGGTTACATTTTTTTGATCACAGGTTCAATGACATTACAGTTTTGTGCCTAGCTCTAATTAACGAAGAGAAAGTCAATCGATGAAGCTGTGAACATTCACCAACTGAGCATACGGAAATATGATTACCTTCTTCCTTAGTTGTCTATCGTTCACCTTAGAGTTTGTCACGCTGATGGGCTGTATGACTTGTGTTAGCGCAGACAGTTACACGCTAAGCCACGCCCCATGTCTATGCTGACTAGTCAACTAACTGCTCTGCATTTGTCTAACCTACTTCTACTCACCATATTAATCGAAGGGGTATTGTGTTAACAGAGTAACAAGGAGAGACGAAAGCAATACATCTCATTGATCTGTTTTTGTACCAAATTTCACGTTGATGTGTCTATCAGTCGTCCTTTTAGTTACTCACACTTTTTCGCTGTTATGTAGTACAATTTAAACGAAAATGAGCAATCCGTAATCAGCTAACCTCATCCTTGAGGAAATTTATATTATCTATCTTGACTACTTTCAAATAATAAGTAGGCTTATTGGAAGCAAACATTTACATGACCCCTGGTTTTCACCACACAAAACGGAGTTGACAAATTGGATCCAGTTTGATATTGAATTGAATTGTTTATGGAGGCGATCAACTTGAGTTCTCTTTAAAATGTGTGGATCATTCAACAAACTTAAACTTAGCTAGATTGAAACATAGTATCAGTGTGTGTGAAGACTCTGAATATTACATTTTTCTTGATTTCAGGTTGATGTTTATTATGGGCTAACATCAGTTGAAGGGTTGTTGAAAAATCTAGAAAAACCAGACAGCTGTTTCTTCCTAGTATGAGACTCCTCCAAACTGAATTACCCTGGTACTCATTTGTGACAGGCTTCGAGATGAGATTCCCGAAGTTTTAATGAGAACTCGTGACCAGTTTGACTTACAGAGTGGGACATCAGAACAGTCACTCAAAGACGGCATCAGAAGAAGGTCGCGCTGAAAGAAGTAGAAAATGTGGGCCATCACATTTCCACCCAGTTGCTACGGCACCTGAAGCTCCTGGGTTCGATCCCCGAAGGTGTTATGCGTGCGCACCGCTGAGGAGTCCCATACTAGGACGAAACGACTAGCTGTCCAATACTCCCTGATTTCCCGTAGTTTTCCAAATGATATCAGTCAGTTCATGATGAGTACCAACCTGACATCTCGGTGTATGAACATACAAACTCATGCTTGTGGTCTGCGTGACTACAAAAATCGATAATTGGCGCTTCTGAGTTATATTCTTCAGAATTGGTCGCACTGGTGCAGATGCATCCCCATATTATCTGCATCATATCATATTTTAGTATTATTTGTTTTACAGCTCAGTGATAACACCCCCTGACTGCGACACTGGGTGACGTGATTTCTAAGCTTACTGGGGAGATCGGTTCCCTCTAGGTTACAGATACACCTTACTGATGAATTCTACCAAACACGAAACCTAGGCAGAGAAAGACTTCCTTTCGACTACCTGATTAAGTTTCTTGGACGCATAAACGTTTTTCTGGCTTGCCTACAATGTTATAGAAAATGAGAAGCGTCACAAATTAAGCAATTGTCTTTTTCATGTGAACACTTCATCGTAAGGATTATCTTCTTTATCCTTTTCCAACAGTTCTCGCTTTTTAAAGGGCATATTCCTTTAATATTGTGTACATAGGATTATTCCAACCTAAAATCAATTAGTAAATCTACACAAACCTCCAAATTGAATTAATCTAGCGTTTATCGGTGACTAGCTTCGAGAAGTGATTCTTGAAGTTCTAAGGAGCAGTCATGTCCGATGGGGTCAACCAAGTCGAACATGAGGACAGTTACTCAACTACGACACTGGACGAAGACCGCGCTATATCGTGGACTGACAGAAGTAGGGAATTTATATTATTGAATTCCAACCCAGTGGCTCAATGGTAAAGTGCTGTTGACCGTGGAACCTGAAGGTCCTAGGTTCGATCCCAGGTGGAGTGGGGTCGTGGGTACACACTGTTAAGGAGGCCCATACTAGGACGAAACAGCTAGCTATCTAGTGCTCCTAGGTCTTCAATGTTCCTCGGATTGATGTCAGTCAGTCCATGATGAATTCCAACCTCAATAGAACTTAGGCTTCGTGGCAGGATGTAATTCCATTTTAGTTAATTAGATGTATCAAACAGTATTACTTATAGTCCTGTCAAGATAACTCCACAACTTTGAGGCGTCCTTTATACAGGTAGTAGGATTTTCCATATGTCTGGAATGGGTTCAGTGTCACTTCCGTTGGATGTGTTTGGTGTTGATTTGACAAATGAAGTTCCCGTTATCAATCACTCCTTACGCTCAAGTGGGTTAGTTGTCAGTACTGTCACTTAATTCCATTCTATTGTATGGTTGTGTGTAACTGCATGCATATCTATGGCTGAGCTTTTGTTTTCTAAATTCCTTATGTTACTACGATCTAGTAATTTTACTCTAGCCAATTTTTAGTGCTTGGATAGCCTAATTGACGCTGATTAACTACTTCGATCCGTGTATTTGACCTTGGAATCGTTGAAGAAGTTAGGCTATTGGAACGCAAGACCCAGCTGGAGCGAAATTGGAAGATCTGTTAAAATGATAACTAAATGTTCATTTATCTAATCTGATTACCTATATCACAAAAAAGGTGATAAAATTAAAACTATATAAAGCATGCTTAAAAATTATGGAGTTATCGTGATATAACTGTAGACAATAAATAATATCTGAAATGTAATCCAGTAAATAATACTGCTCCATTACTGTATGTGACACTGTATATTTATACGAGATTGTACACAAACTCATGAGATTTTTACGCATATGACTAGGGTTCAGTTGAAGCATTCTGTTGCTAAGGTAGTTCGGATTTCATCATATAGCCATTTTTTCAACGATATCTAAACTCAGACTACTGATTAGGATTTCACAAGGTATATTGTTTGGATAAGGGTAATTATAACTCACTATGTTTAATGTCACACAAACTTGAAGGTCTACAGGCGAAAAATAAGTTGACAGAAAAGGCAGCGAAGACGAGACTTCAAGTGAACGTAGAGAAGACAGAGGTGATGAAGATACCCAACCAACAACAACAAGAGGCACCAATCAGCATCAACAGGAGAAACTTAAAGGAAGTAGCCTCTTTCACCTATCTAGGCAGCACTGTTTCAACTACAGGCGGTACAGGCACAGACGACGACGTCAAAGACAGGATCGGAAAAGCAAGACAGGCGTTCATTACCCTGAAACCAGTGTGCAGATTTTCTGCACTCAGCACAAAGCGTGAACAACATCCGCATTTTCAACACCAACGTCAAATCACTGCTTCTATATGGCTCAGGGACTTGGAGCGTTACGAAAAGCATTTCCAACAAATTACAGACATTCATCGACAACTGTTTACAGTGGCTCGTTACTGACGATCAGATGGTCAGAAAGAATAGCAACAAGGAACTGTGGCCTGGCAACGAGCTAACCAAGAACCTATCACTCAACAAATATGCACTGGAAGGAAGTGGAGGTGGATTGGACATACACTGAGAAGGCCGACTGGGGACATCACACATCAGGCCAGTCCCTCAAGTGGGACCCAGATAGGAAGCGACGAGTTGGGCGTCCGAGGAGAGAGTGACGTGGAGGAGATGGTGTGAGGAAGAAATGAGAGCTTGTGGGCAGTCGTGGCGACAGGTTCAAAAGTTTGCAGAGGACAGAGTGCACTAGAGACGTGCTTCTGAAGCCCTATGTCTCACTAGGAACCCAAGAGACAAATAATAATAATAATAACTCACTGAGCTGAACACTTTGTATTTCAATCAATATGTCATGAATTCTTATAGGTATATGTTGTTTAGCGAAATGTGAACAGTTGAACGATATCACTATTTGTCATGTTAGTACAGTATAACTCAAATTACCTATAGGAAAATGTTTATATCATTCCTATGAGTGTTACTCTTCTCATGTATTTTCAAGAAAGAGATTTTGTTTTATCAACTTCGACATCAAAATTTGACCTAACAAAATTGAAGAAGTTGAGCATTACGAAGGTTTCACCGCCTTGTGGAAGTTTTCAAAGAACCGACTAAAAAGGATGTTATTTTCTTGTCGATTTTCTCCTTACCTACTGTGTTGTTTACTTTTTCTAGGTGAATAAAATTACAGCTGCGACAATTTTAAAGAATGCTGACTTAACAGCAGTACATAATTGGGTTAAAAAACAATGCACAAATCTTGTACGTGAATTGACCTTTGCAAATGCTGAAGAGATCACCGAAGAACGCTTACCGTTGATGCTATTATTTTATCATCCAAAAAATAAGACAATAGTTAGTCGTTTTGTCGAATTCGCTAGGAATCATTTAACTGAACATCAATGTAAGTTGAATTGTTATTGTTTGTGTTCATATTTGATGATTATACATGTGGTCGCTGGTTTGGTTCCCGCCGGCGTCAAAATTTTCATTTTCAGTCATGAACAACTAGTAATCATCACTACCAAGCCAAATAGCGGCTGCTATCTCAGATAGTTAAAGTGATAATCAATATGTTGCTCCCTCTCTCTGATTCAGTCAGATTTTGGATTGGGATAAAAAGTTCTGAGTGCAGACAGCTAGTGTGAGTATAAACAATTAATCGGTAGTAACGCGTCAGGAATCAACATAGTAGTCGTGCAAAATCCTTGGTGATTGAAATGAAATAAAATCCTGGTGAGAGGTCAAGCCTCATTTGGTAGAGGATGGAGCCGTAAACACGATGGTCGCTGTTTCGAAACCGGCCGTGGTCCAAATTTTCCTTTCCCCTTCAATCACCCATCACCCATAAATAGAATAGGTCAACAGAAAATCGATTCGTTAACGCCTTTCATTATTTAGCCTTATGTTTTCATATATAAGGCAGGTTATATCAAATGACGCTAGTGTCCAAGATGTCTGTAAAACAAGTGGAACCGGTGATTAAAACCTCCAGGTGACATGGTTCAAACGTATCTGCATGGTATTTATTCATCTGAATAGTCATACTGAATTTCGTTATACTTTCGCCTGGTCCTTTTTTTCTTCCCACGACTTCCCAACATATTCGATTACTTTTCCTTATATTTCTCAATCTTTCATCCTTCTGTCTTCTACTTTCCTGTTTTGACGAGTAGTCTATCAGCGTGGACCGTGATGCAGGAATCCTTGGGTGCCATATCAGTGCTGATCAAATGACTGATACATACTGGTAGGCATCGCTAGATACAATAAAACCACTTATCGGAGTTCACTTAACACCTTCTTGAAAGAAATTTCACTAGGGAATTCCACATCTATACAAAAATGTGAACTCTGTTGCGAGTGATCACTCGAACTCTCACTACTAATACGGCTAATCACGTGACAAAGAAGAATCAATAAAAAGTAGTAGAAAGCAGTAAAAGAGTGGGGGGAAGAATGATGAGATACAGAATTCAGCATAGTAGTTAAGGTATATATATATATATATATATATATATATATATATATATATATATATATATATATTCGTTTCATCTCTTACTCTGAAAGTCAATATTACTAGATAGAATCACTGAATTGTAAACGAAAATTTGTAGTTGTCGGGGTATTAATAGTACCTGGAGTAGTAGTGTAACTAGTAGCAGTAGTAGTAGTAGTAGTAATAGCATTAGCAGTACCAGCAGTAGTCGTGTGAATAGTAGCAGTAGTATTAGTAGTATTTATGTGAGTAGTATCACTAGTAGTGGTAGCAGTGGTACTGAAGGAAACGAGGAGGTAGATATGAAGGAAGGGTACTTGTCATTAACACCGTATGCAGTAGTCATCAAATATAGTACACCTTGAACTAAAACAGTCATTTGCAAAATATGCTTCATTTCCACTCTTGTTTGTCTCTTGATTTGCTTTTCATACACCCGAGTTGTATCTTGAGTTTTCCTGAGCAGAATCTTTACCCATTGCTAGTAATTCCCTATGATTTCTGTCACCCTCTCAATATATACTACTTATATCCATTCATATCAGCAATGCATACTACAGTAGGATGTTGAGGGAACACGCTTTCCAACTAATGTAGCTTCTTAGGCTGTTGTAAACTACAAACCGAGCCATCAACAACTAGTATGATCACGGGCTGTAATTTTACTCGAAATATTACCAAAACTTAATAATATCAATGAGCGTAAACATTCATTATATATATATATATATATATATATATATATATATATATATATATATATATATATATATATATATATATATATATATAAAATAACATTTATTGTTCTCTGTATGATTGAAAGATGTTAGTAAAGTTGTCCACATGGATGATTCCAAGCACTCATTATTGATCATACTCCGCAACATGTTAACTGAATTGATTTATACAACACTGGTGTACTGTATCATATTTCAATGTTCACATTTCAGTTAGTATATTAATCCATCTACCTTGACTTATGTTCATCTAAATGTTATAGACAGACAAAGTCAACGTAGAATATTTCATAGAAGTGCATCTTCTCAACTGATCACACTTTCTCTGTAGCATGAAACGAAGAAAAAAAAATTGACAGAAAACAATTGTTATCAATTTAGACAAAGTTGTGTGTGTAGGTAGGCGGGGTGGGGTGGGGAAGAGAGAGACGGAGAATAAACGGTTAGGGCAAATATTTACGCTTTAAAAGTTCTCAAGAAGTTATCTAAGCTATTGTCGACGATTTTTAGATATTTCACTAAGATTCCCTTAATCACTAATTCCTATAGTCTCAGAGAATTCTTCGTGCTGGTAGTGTCTACATCTACCTGCCTACACAGCCTGAGCTTTCTTCCAACCTAATCTAGCCTCTTCTAGGATTAATATTGCTAGTAATAGTTACATATTAAGTATTGTTTGTTGTCTAGGCTACAAATGTATTTCATATCACTGACTTACAGTGAAGTAGTTTATCTTATGCAGGAAAAACAAATCATGTGTGCATCAAATTGCAACGCTACGCATCATCATAGAACACAGAATCGACTTTGAAAAAGCCTTCGACAGCGTTAACCGAGTAGTAATTTACCAGGTGCTTCAACACTATGGAGTGCCACAAATCTTTATCAACCTCATTCAACAGCAGCTATATGCTGTATGATGCTACATACCAAGTGATTCACAATGGAAAGCTCAGTGATCCCTTTGAAGTGAAAACAGGTTGATAGGTAGGACAAGGTTGCAGCTTATTATCACCTATAATCTTCCTGATTGTGGTCGACTGGACTGGATCATGCAAGAAACAACTGTGAGACCGAGAAGATGGGCATACGCTGTTTCACCGATGAGACGGGACTTCCTTCAGGTGAACGTAGAAAAGACAGAGGTGATGAAGATACCCAACCAACAACGATAACAACAACAAGCACCAATCACCATCAACAGGAGAAATCGAAAGCAAGTTGTCTCTCTCACCTACACCTACACAGGCAGCATCCCATCGTCTCAACTACAGGCGGCGGCACACATCACCATGTCAAAGCCACCACCAGAAAGACAACAAGACAGGCCTGCAGTAACCTGAAATCAGTGTGGACATCTACTGCACTCCACTCAACACAAACAACATGATCCCGATTTTAAACACTAATGTCGATCAAGTCAGTGCTTCTCTGTGATGCTTCAGAAACTTGCTTAGCACATTACAAAAATCATTTCCAACAAACTACACACATTCATCAACAGGTGTCACCTACGCTCACTCAATACTGAAGATCAGTACAGATCAGATGAGATGAGATCAGATGGCCAGAATAATAAGCATAAGCAACAAGCAACTCTGAAATGGGAACGAACCAATCAAGAAGTTATTGCCCAACAAATATGCAGAAGAAGGAAGTGGAGATGGACTGGTCATTCACTGAGAAGGCCGACTGGAGACATCATGCATCAGACGAGACCAGACCATCGAGTGGGCGTCCGAGGTGAGAGTGACATGGAGGAGATGGTGTGAGGAAGAAATGAAAGCTTGTGGGCAGTTGTGAAGGCAGGTTTTGAAGACTTCAGAGAAGAGAGTTGAATATAGACGTGCTACTGAAGCTGTATTTTCCACTAGGAACCTAAGGGACAAATAATAATAATAATAGTTTATCTCATAAGGAAATAAACAGTTCAGCTAATTATTATTTTCATCAACCCTGTTATTTCATAGTATTCCATACTGATTCACTAGTTTGATTATTGTGTAACATTCATACTCTTAGTAGAATAATCGACGGGTAGCAGTGGAAAACAATTCCCTAGCTTTTATAAGTAGAAATAGTACTCATTCAACATGAGGACTACACTTCCTCTATGGATTATGTGATCATTATTGAGCTTTTATCGAATAGTATTTATATTGATGTCACTGAAAAGTAGATGGGTCAAATGCTCAACAGAGTTTTATTTCAAAGTACATGTTTTTTCTATCTATTTGTCTGTTGATGTGTCTTATCCTATAGTTACTTCAGTTGAATTTATGTGTATACCAATATTAAGCTTGACTAGGGTTTCATATCTATTCTGTGGTACTGGCTCACTTGCGCACCTGCAACAGGTATACGTAATTCACTCACTTAACCACCTTGTGCACATCCATGCAGTAGTCAGTGTGAACCAGTGAATCACATCTATTCTGTGAGAGCTGCGAAAACCACCTCCTGATAATCATCTCCCTAAACCGCTGAACTACAGCCCTACCATCACTTCACCCCCCCCCCCGCCCAACATACCTCAGTTTAACTAGATAAACAGCCTTCACTGTCCTATTTACTCATATTATCTGGGTGATCATTCAAGACACCTGGGCGATAACCCTGAGGTCACTGGTTCAAAACCTCCTGTGGCTCAGATTTTCATTTGAAAACAAATACAAAAGACATCCATTACCTAAAACACACATATACAGAGAAAAAGTGCAAACTATTTTCATCAATATTATAAAACTGAAAGATAATTGTTTTACTTCATCAATGTGACCGTACAAGGATAAACAGGCCAATAAATATATTAAGGTAGCAAATAACAATGAAGTGAATATTTGTTATAACGATATTCTTGAATGATTTACAACTGATTTTAAATCAACAGTTGTGTTGATTTGCTTGTAGATGCGTGTTTCGTCCGGGTCATGACTTGTCCATCTTTCTTTTTAATATATACCCTCCTCCCAAGGAGACTTGAACCCAGCACTCATCACTTCAAACATCGTCATAACGTAATCGAATAGACTACTGAATTATTGTATGTCTTGAAGCAAAGCATGTGTAATTAAGAAACAGATAAGGTTAGATGTGTATGTGGATTGGTTGACAGGACTTAGACAATGTTTTTGCAGAAAAATGATGATTATATTAGGAAGA